AAAAAAAAAAAATTAGTGTAACAAGAATAATACTCACAAAACGAAGAGATAGCCCAGAGAATGTGTGCAGGGATCGAGTTCACTGAGGAGAGGAGCGAGCTGAGTCGGCTCGGAGCGTAGCGTGTCATCTATCTGTTTCAAGTAGTTGTGGAGCTGAGTCAACTCGCCGCCAGAAAGCCCTTGGATTTGAGCCTCAACCGATTCAACTGAGCTCATATCGAGATTCATCTCTTCAAGGCTTTCGTTTTCTCCCCTTTGGTTCTGCACAAGGCATACGAAATTGAGAAGAAGGGAGAGAGTGAAGAAGAAAATCACGAGTATGGAGTTTGGGCTGCTTCCAGTTCCGAGGTTATTGGGCCAGCCTGGCCTATGGGTAGTTTATCTTCAAAATTTCTTGTATCTTTATGAAAAAAAAAATAAAATAAATAATCAGAAATATGTCTACTTTTACAGTTTATAATATAAATAATTGGTTCATGGTTTGTTTTTGCTAACTAATTTTAGCATGTGCATTTGCACGGAAAACGATATAATAGAGGAGGAAGTAATAAAAATACGAAAAAAAAGTCATAACTAAATCAAGTAAATAATTAACGTTTAAATAAGAAAATCTCAATATTAAATAAACAATTTTTTATATACAATATTCGTGGTTTTTCTATTGTCATAATCCCCATCTTCATAAATCATTGTCTTCAAAGCCCTTTGACTTGTGATGCTGGAAATAGCGACGTACAATTGCCCATGACTAAATACATGACTCTTCAGTATTAAGTCGACATGCGACAAAGAAAGACTTTGAGTCTTATCGATTATCACAGCATAGGAAACCATGAACTGAAACTTTCTCCGTTGAAGCTTGAACAGTACCCTAGAATAAGTTGGTATAATTCTGAGCCTCGAAATAAGAACATTGTCACTTGCTCTGGCACTAGTTAAAATTCTACATTCGAGAACATGACTTATGAGCTTAGTTCCTGAGCTTTGAAATAACCAAACGTCTATCATTCCACTACCCCATGGAGTAATCAATGTCTCTGAGCAGCATAATTGGAGTGCTGACCTTCAAGTGCATTTATGATTGGGAAGTCCCGAACACTTAATCCCAGTGAGATTCAGGAGTACGAAGGTTTTGAAGAGAGTCATATTCAACGCCTGACTTGCAAGGGGTTTCAGAACTCAAATAAATCCTTCATTCGGATGAGTTAAATATGCTTATGTACTCGTTAATAGATTGAACTACATCAATTGTCGGAGCGAGTATGACTCTGTCTCGAGATAATCGTCGCTTGAACTCTTGAACATTGAATAGGTATTCTCAATAGTAGTAGCAATAGATTCCCTTGTGATCTCAGAAGAATGTCGTCACGAATGTCGATACCGGCATAACCGTAGTTCGATCCGCCAACTGTGTCATCGCTAATGCATACAAGCCACTCCGGGAAGCACCTGAACTCATCGTACTTATCAACCCCAAGGCTCTGAAGCCTCATATTCCAAGTCAATCTCACAATAATATAATCACGCCATAACTTGGATGAATTGATGGTCGCATTGACTATGTCACTTCGATTGTCTTTAGGGACAACATGGAGTATTGTCTGAAATCGCCACCCAACACAACTGACTTGCCGTCAAATGGGAGATTTTTTCTCGATGGATCAGATGCTTCCATTAAGGCTCGTAAGGTATTGTCAACAATCGAGAAGCAATACTTATTCATCATCGGGGTTTCATCCCAAATGATCAAGCAACATCATATAATAAGTTCAGTCAAATGACCTGCTGAGTAATGTCACATGTAGACCCTTCCATTGGGTTTAGTGGGATTTTGAATCGAGAATGCGTAGTGTGTTCGTCAGTCAGCAAAAGTGACGCGATACCGTTCGATGCAATGTTCAACACGATTTCGCCTCTAGATCTCAAAGCAGAAGGCAACACCTTCCAAACATACTTTTTACCCGTGTCGTCGTAATCAAACAAAAGGTATATGATCGTTGTTAGGGTAAACAGAGTCCATTATCTAACCATAAACATTGCTCTGCTCCTCGGGCGTATTGGTAACCAACATTGCGTTTTATCATATGCATAAGAGAGCAGTTGATAGTTCCCAAGTTTTTGTTATGGAGAGTTCATCTCGATATAAAAAAGAATATAAAGTATAATAATTAATATTTTTATTTTACAAATGCAACATTCACATTTTAATATTATTTACTGTATGATTCATTTTTATTATATTAAGTATTCTAAAAACTTATGTTCATACATTAACTTTTTCACACATACATCTAATTAACTTATTCGAACTAAGCAATTATGTTCATTTAGTAAACGAACCGACGTAGCTTAACTCGTATAATAAACAAAAGAAAAAGAAATGCGAGCTATAGTTCAACTCTTATAGACTTGGGTTGGATTATTTTAATTTAAGACCCTGACCAAAATTCAAAACTCAGATCGAGTTGATCGCAAACATGCTCGACTCAATTTATTTGATAGACTAGCTCGATTTGTTGTTGAAGCTTAACAGATTTAAATATACAAACAAGTCAAGCTCGAGTTTTAACAAGTCGAACCAAACTATGTTTGTAACAACTCGGTTCGAATAAAAGCTGCATATTTTGCACAATATGCAACCTCAGGTGAAAAAATTTCTGGCTAAGCCTGGTTTTTAAATCTAAACAACTACAATGATAGACCAGCGTAGGAATCTCATCTTCAAATAAATTCAAAAATTACAACTTTGAAAAACAACATTTTCCAGATTGTTATTCGAAGTAATCTCTAGCAAGCCCATGATCGTGAACTCCAACTCAAGGACTTTATCAACTGCTACATTCAACAGCATACATGCCATATTTATATCATAAATAAAGCTCTTGGCTAATTTAGAAACGCAGTACAATCATGCTTCGAGTTCTGGTTCGACTTCTTTCCTCTTTTTGCCTTTCCTCATGTTTGAGTTACCCTGTTCTTGTAGTTCAGCTTTCTTTTGGGCACGGATCATGGCCCGTCTAGCACGTGGCCGCATTTCACGCACTTGCCTTGCAGGCATCACATAAGGTTCGAGAGGCTTATCACCAAAAGGGTGCTCGTCCCCAGCAAATATCCTCAGCTTTCTGTCTCTGTCCTAAATTAGAAAGGCCGTCATAGCAGAAGCTTAATCAGGCAAATGATAGAATTAAACAGCTGGGTGGTGAGCGCAATGTAACCATTGTAGAACACTAGGTCGTATGCTCTAGCACAAATAAGACAACTCGGTGACTAGCACAAAAGCTTTGTCAATAGCATTTAAATGCAGCTTTTATTCTTAGACAAACTTGAATATAATTGCTAAACTACCCACGGTGGTTTGAGCTAATACGAAACACAAGGGATAGCACTACCAGAAGTCACGAGTACTTTCTGCTGAAAGTGATAAATCTCATTGTAGCTCCAACGAGTGAGCCATAGACAACCAAAAATGTTCATTGTTTCAAAGGTATGAATTACAACAGTTTTCAGCTTTACTTGCAAACCAGCCAAATTAGAGTATATCCAATTAACCTCAGACAAGCCCCAATTCCCTCACATCGGAAACAGGAAAATGAACTGACTTACCCGGACAGAATTTACAGAAGTTGACGAAATGATGTCAATGGAAAAAAAAAAAAAAAAAAAATAGAGAATGCATGAATTCATTGACCATTGTGAAAACAACGACAAGAAGACATCAATCAGAATACTCACATCACGTAATTTGTTCCTAGGGAGCATCCGTAGGACAGCTTTGCGTATAACCTCCGTGGGATCTTTAGCCATTTGGTCTTTCAAAGTCCTCTCCTTCAGGTGGCCTATATACCTGTGGGATCCACATTCCACAACGTCACAAAAACATCAGAACACGACAAAATAATTCCATGCCAGAAAAAAAAAAGTCCCTCAAAGCAAAACTTACCCTGTATGCCACTGGTAAACCTTATCTGTCATTTTCCTTCCGGTGACACACACATCTTTCGCATTAATAATAATGCACATGTCCCCCTCATCACGATTGGGTGTGTATGTCGGTTTGTCCTTTCCCTGAACCACAGTTGATATCTGCGATGCGAGCCTTCCCAAGACCTACGTCAAAAGCAAGAATATTATATGGCGTAGCTCCTAACTAGGTATTTACATACCAATTACTGAATGTATGTCGTATCTGGACCTGTCCCTTTGCATCAAATACTCTCCATCTCAAGCCTTCTAAATTGATTCGTCTCAGACCAGCAAGAGCTTTCTGCGACATATTAGTGATTGTCTGGTTAGAAGATTTGGTGCAAGATGGAAGTGATCAATAATGAATAAAAGATAAATCTACACGAGCAAAATACTATACACCTATAGACCATGATGGGGCCTGGAAAATTTGAAATTTGTTGCTGCCATCCAAAACAAATCGAAAAAAAAAGTAAAAAAAAAAAAAAAGTGCAGAAACTGATCCTCAAGAAAACTATAAAACCCCGGGAAAGAATAGAGTGACTAGTTAACCGGAGTTCGTCTGAATCAGATCTCGAAAGCAGAGGAGAGGTTTAAGAAATACCCATCAAATATACTTAACACTAAAGCACCACAGTATTCCTCCTCCAAAAACAATGAGAAACAGCATTTTCTACACTCCACCATCACCAAATTACGCTTGACTATTGATTTCAGAGAGGAAGGAGAAAAAAAATATCGCAGTAAATTTCACAAACACTTGGCAGGCATCGAGTGCAAGCTTACAAAACAATCCAAAAATCCTTATGAATTAAATAAAGACAAAAAAAAAAGAGAGAGAGAGAGAGAGAAAGGACACCTACCTTGAGGTTGCCATTGAAAGCTTGAGCTGCTGTTGACATCTCGATTCGTTTTCCGGCGACACAGCTGAGGAAGTTGCAGGCGAGAAGAGTATATCGAATTTATGCGAATTTTGGTTTGTTAAAACTTAAAACCCTTGAAGACAGAGTATATGTTAGCGTTTAAGATGATGGGCCTGTCATTTATAATAGATTGGCCTCAAATAGGACAAGATGCTGAGCCTGTTATTTATAATAGATTGGGCTCAAACTACTCGTCCTCTAATATGCCCAAATAGAGTGTTGGGCTCAATCTACTCGTCCTCTAATATGCCCAAATAGAGTGGAGGATAAAAATGTTAGAGGAATTTGCATCCCTTACTTTATAATCCTAATTATATTACAATTCTACATCTATTATATCAATATTTATAATTGTATCAAAATAAGCCTAAAATATTGCAAATATACTTAAGACTTAATTGTTCAAATTAATTGAAATAATTAATTGAAAGTTACTGATTTTACGGGTGAAGATAATATCACTCTCCCTCGTCGTCTCGCTCTCTGGCTCTCTCTCCCC